CCAACGATTCGGCGTGCTCCGATTTATAAACTTGAACAACTATATAGAATATCAACTGCATAGTTTCATAATAGTATTCAAAGTTAGTAACTGATCATACATACTTTGGTCAAGTTGCTTTCTTACACCTACACCTACCTACCAAGCATCCTGCCTTCCCCTTTCATTCACCTGATAAACTAATTTGTCGAGCTCAATTCACACTTCCCAATGGGCCATCAGCAGGCATTTAATCAAATATTCCCTCAAAGTGATGCTCCATTAATAATATGGCACTTAATAAGCCCCAGTAATTTGTTAAGAATGAAGCAGAACCATTTCCCCTTCCCGAGTATAGAGAAATAAACACCAAACATACCTTGGCATACCGAACACACAATATCTGACATACATTGAAATATTTTTATAATTTATGCCCACCTAAATGCCCCGGAACGATCCCTTTTAAATAGATATATCTGCATCTGTATACCTATGTAAGAGATCTACATACACACATATGTATATGTGATCTCCACGGGTCTTCATAATTTTGGTGTTTTAAAAATAAAAATGGAAACTCACATAGGCGAGGTGGTGGCTAGGAAGTTCCTCCTCCGGATCTTTTGTTTATTTGTAAAACTGCCGCCCAAAAAAATTAAATCTGGACGGGCCAACCCGTCCGATTGCTTATTTTGAAAGCATCATTTTATGGACTTTACTTTCTAGAATTACCCAAGACTATTAAACGCTGCCGCTGGCTGGACTATAGGTCTGTGGGCGGTTATTGTATTTTCCTACGCTTTTCGCTTGATGTGGTTTCATCTACCACAACACTTAAGGGCCTAAGTCGGCGTGTAAATAACTCGACTGCATAAAAATATCATTTATATGTCGGCGGCAGTTGGCTTTAAGAACTTAATACCACCATCATCCGCATCCACCTCGCTGGAAAGGATATTGAGGCAGGGGAAAGCATGTCAAGGTGAAAGTGAATCATGCTGAGAACGCCATCTCTCCCCAGGTAATGCTTTTTATGACTTTAATGGGGGACTTCCCCCCTCTCAATCTCGAAGTACCAGCCAGCCACGGTCACAAAGGGCGCGTCTATTTGACAGGTAAGTGGAAAAATGACTCTGTCGAAGCGTTTCGATTGGGTTCTGGCACGCAAACCGAACTAAATTCGCAAATTTGCATGCAAATATTTGGATTTAGTTGGATTTACTTAATGTTGTGATGAGTGGTTGGTGAGAGAACTGTTTTATTTTAAGATCTTTATCAAAAGTGTCCACGAAATAGGGTTTTCAAAAAATACTATTTCTTAAACGATATATTTATTATCCTTAAAATAACTTTCTTTCAGTTGAGAGGATTAAATTGGCCAAGATATCATATTTTTAACTAGTTCTCTCTATAATATTACTGATATTTAAAATATTTATTGTCCCCAGTGCTACTCAATGTCATTAAAATCTGTTTAAAACTTAACTTTGGGAAGTTATTTGCTCAAAAGCAGACTCAATTTAAGACTTCAAACATTTTATTTTACATTTTCATATACCTTTATAAAGTATTTCATTACGCCAGTAATTTCTGATCCTTTATAAAATCGGCCCTACCTCAAAATATTCAGATCTCGACAGCAAACATCTGCTTATCACCTATGTATGCTAATAAAATCTCACCTTCCCCAAGAAATGGCTGCGCCTGCGGTCTGTATAGTTTTTTAACCCCTGATGAAGGAATGAAAAAACACCCCGCGAAAAGATTGTAAGGGAGAAAGTCAGCGAAAAGGGAGATATTCCCCCATTTTCAAACAAAAACTCGTTTCGACAGAGCCTGTAAAACTGTGTACGCTTATAGAACTCTTACACTTTTGGCAGCACTGCCCACTGCCCAGGGAAATGATTATTTTTGTAGGTCCCCAAGTGTTCTTGGGCTTTAACCAATTTATGATCATTTTCACACTGAGTAATCAATCAACAGAATCGCAAAAATAACATATACGAACTATTTTTAAATCGCACTAACTAGAGAATGCTTTCAGAGCGCGTAGTTTGTAGTAATTTATGTTGTAACATTTAAAACTTTTTGCCTTGCTTCGGGGGATTTTTGGTCTCGAAAATTGTCCGCTTTTTTGGGGGCCAACTATTTGACGTTGTTGTTTTTTCACTTTTTTTTCCAACATAAAGATTTTAATCGCTCAACGAGACGCACCAATTTGTCAATATTTAGAAGAAAAAAAGTGTAACATAAATTTTCACATTCAGCAACTAAAAAACTTAAATACAGACGATCGCTTTTTTGGTTTTGTGCTCGAAGCACCAGCGACAGTTCAAGTACATTCGTTTGTTTTTTGTTTTTATAAAATTATAACAATTAAGGCGGATAATTTGAGAATAGTTACACACTTGTGATTTTTGGGGTTTTAATTTTATATCAGCGAGTATCTTTGGTCTGCTTGTTGTTTTCGAAGCGCAGTAAACGCGACTGAAGGATGGAAAGCGTGACGTAGACCGGCGACAGCTTGCGGCTATGGCAACAACAACAACCGCAACAACAAGGACAATAACACTGCACTGAGAGAAAAATTAAAGTAACAGGTAATTATGTTCATACAAGAATTTATTGGAAATGATAAGGATTTGAAACAAACTTGTTAGGATACTGTTATAAAAAGGAAACTAGATTTAAAATTCTCGAGAGAACTCTTAAGATATATAAAATAGAAATAATTATTCGGAATAATTAAAAAATACAGTTACAAACTGATATACATTTTAAAATAATTTGTATTGTCTTTGGTCTTTATAAAATATTTACTATTTTTATAAAGTCCAACAAATTGCTTACTCTGTATTTATTAATTTAAATTAAGAAGAAAATTTATAAAAATTAAAATCAAATATACAATTTTTCCATGTGCAACGGCGACGAAGTTACTGACGACAACAATAGAGACTCATATCCTTCTGTCTGGCGGCAGAATCGTCCTTTTAGGAAAGCAACCCCCAAGCAAGAAACTTTTTCCAGCTGGCAATGCCGCCAAAAGAGAGAAAGAAGTCCTGCAAAGAGAAGGACTTCTATCTTCACCAAAACCAAGGGTGGCGGTAGAGAGTGCCTTGGAAACCTAATCTCACCATCGAGCAACAGGCTACCCACATCAAACCCAAAACAAACCCAAACGCAGAAGTACACCGTTCCCTTCGCCAAGGACAAAAGTTTGCTCAGCTAATGGCAAAAAAGAGAGGTTGTCAAACATCATTGGGATAGGTCTGATGGGGTGAGTCCTTGGGATTCCCTGACTAATGACATCGAAGTTGCTGCAGGTGTCGTTCAAATAAACAAATGAAAATCAAGGATATTTATGAAGGTGAAAATTATTAACGATTGTGGAAGCGTAGGCGAATTATCATTTGGAAAAGATATTCCAAGCTATAAGGATAATATCCCAAAATAAGAATAGTAACATTAGTAAACTATCTGCTTCTGATCCTTTAACAAATTCTGAACCATATGGTTTTATGGCAACTGTAACATCTGGAACAATTATGCGACAAGTGTTTTCTGTATTCCCAACCCCCAGCGGCAGGTTATCGCCTCTGTTGCTCTGCTGCTCCTAATAAGCCAATCATAATAAATGTCAAGCATCGATTTGGCTTCTTGCCAATGGCCAATCGACCATATCGCTATCCTCCACCCCTTTCGGAGTGTCAGCTCATCGTCACGACTAGGCTGGTCGCCAGCAGCTGGGCGAGACTTAGTTCTAGGGCTAAATCATTAATGCTTAGCTCCCCAGATTGCTCATACGCCATGTGTTCGGCCAAAGAGCTAGGGAAAACGTTTAATTTATGGCCTTGTCGCTTGGTTGCCAAACACCTGACACGGATCGTCAGTCAAAATGATTAACAGAACTGCCCTATCCCAAAAGAAAACATTGAGCAAGTTAATAACGAAATAAATGGATAAGAATTTCTATAAAATAAGTTATATATTGAGATTTACAAAGATACTCAATAAAAGTAAAGGACCCAATCCGGAAATCTATCTTATAAAGCTTTAAATATTCGCATTACTAAAAGCGATATTTTTCTATGACAATTTAAAAAAAAATCAATGCTTAAAAATCTCATAACTATGCCAAGAACAAAATTAGATTACCTTTTGAATGCATAAATAAATTGTCAATCACATGCTTCCAAAAATAAAAAGAACTCCCAAATAAATATTTTAAAAATACCTTTTTAATCAGCTGTGTGATATTATTAAACTCAACAAATTAAAGTCGATAAAAATAAAGATAATAATCTAAAATCATGATTTATGGCCAACGTGTGCCTTGCGTCGAATAACAACAACAAGTCACATTTCTAACCAGTTTTCGTAATTTGGTTTTCTACAAGTTTTAAAGGCCCGATTCTAATGCAAAACAACTTTAACTTCAATGGCGCTATATGTACATTTCGTACTGGAACAATAACAATAACAATCGTGATAACATTAGAGGCGTTTTGGGGGCTCGCAACTTGAATCAAGTTCAATGCGACGACGACTTGGCAACCGATCTGGCCCAGCAAACTCGACTGCCGCCTCTCCTCATGAATATTTAGCGGAATTCTAACATGAAATTTTAAACATTTTGCATAATGACTTGATATGTATCGCTTTATGTGTAACACACTTGGAGAGAAGTGAAATTTTGGGTTTACAAAAACTTCTAAAAGGCCGCTTTGATAGGGAGTAAACACTAATTGAAGGAGGCCCGTCTCTGATTACGAAGTTGCAATTCATTTCGCCGGACTGGATTGCATTAATTAAATAATCCACCTGTTCTAGTAAACAAATTTCTGCAGGTTTAGTTAAAATATGCGAATAACAACAAGCAGCCACCTAAGATATTCCGGTATATATAGCATTTGAAATAAACAAAATACTAGTTTGGCTTTTATTTAAATTAGTACAGGATTTTCACCTGATCTAGACATGATTCTGGGGCCCTATATAAAGCCGTCTATTGGCACAGCTCAAGCCATAATCAACTTGAAGATCGTGTAAGATCCAACGGAACGTAGAAATCTATATCGCGTGTGAGAGGAGGATTTGCATAAATTGAGTCTGAGTGATAATGGTATGGATAAAGATAATGTGTTAGACGTGTGTCGAAGTGTTATATAACATGGTGATAGTGGCTGTAAAGTTAAATTTAAAAAAAGGACATTCTTTATCAGAAATTTAAAATCAAAGATTAAACATTGACATTGTATTGTATTGTTATAAAAACTAAGTTTTCTAAGGGTTTGACTCAGGCTTCTGGCTAGTAAAATAAGCTTAAAGAATTTAAAGAGTGGAAAGAAATATTTTTGTTTAATTATATAAAGTAATAATCAAATTGCTAATGTTTTAATTAGTAATCAAATCTAATCAGTTTCCATAAAAGAAGTTTATAAATATGGAAATAAAGGAAGGAAGGAAGTGAAGGAGTAAATTAAATGTTAATTCTATTAGTTATACGTACTTTTATATATTTTCAGACAAGCTATACTGACAAAGGAACCAAAGTAAGTGCCAGCGAATTTCTTGAGTAATTTCCTCCTTAAGTACTTTACGATTTGTATTTCCCGCAGCCTGAAGCCGGCAAATTTCTAAGCTTTGATCACTTGACATTCTACGTTGGCAACGCCAAGCAGGCGGCCAGCTACTACACCACTCGTCTGGGCTTCGAACCACTTGGCTACCAGGGACTAGAGACCGGAGAAAGGCGCTTCGCCAAGCATGCCGTGCGCCAGAACAAGATCGTTTTTGTGTTCGTCTCCGCGTACACGCCGGATGACAAGGAGCATGGACTCCACCTGATGCGCCACGGTGATGGGGTCAAGGATGTGGCCTTTGAAGTGGAGGATCTGAATGCCATCTTTACGCTGGCTGTGTCCCGCGGCGCCGAAGTGGTGCGCGACATCTGGGAGGAGAGCGACGACCACGGATTCGTGAGATTCGCCACCATCAAGACGTACGGTGACACCACCCACACCTTTGTGGAGCGCAATGGCTACTCCGGTGACTTTTTGCCGGGATTCCAGCGTGGAGCAGAGGATGTTCTGCTAAAGGGCTTGCCCTCCACCAAACTGAACTTTATCGATCATGTGGTGGGCAACCAGCCGGACCTGCAAATGGAAAGTGTGGCCTCCTGGTACGAGAGAATTCTGCAGTTCCATCGTTTCTGGTCCGTGGATGACTCGCAAATCCACACGGAGTACTCCGCCCTGCGCTCCATCGTGATGGCTAACTACGAGGAGACGGTGAAGATGCCCATCAATGAGCCGGCCAATGGCAAAAAGAAGTCGCAGATCCAAGAGTATGTCGAGTACTATGGAGGTGGCGGTGTCCAGCATATTGCCCTTAACACTGACGACATCATACAGGCGGTGAGCAACCTGAAGGCTCGGGGTACCGAGTTCTTGACCATTCCCTCGTCCTACTACGAGATCCTGCAGCAGCAGCTCTCGCAGAGCCGCACCAAGATCAAGGAGGACATGGAAATCTTGAAGAAGCTGAACATCTTGATTGACTTTGATGAGAACGGTTATTTGCTGCAAATCTTTACAAAGAATTGCCAGGACAGGCCGACCCTCTTCCTGGAGGTTATCCAGCGCCACAATCATAACGTAAGAGCTCATTAAATTTTAATTTAACATAATTTATCTAATAATGTAACTACCTTTCAGGGTTTTGGCGCCGGCAACTTTAAGTCCCTGTTCACGGCCATCGAAATCGAGCAGGCCAAGCGCGGCAACTTGTGAATTATAACCATAAATGTGTGCAATATAAAATACAAAGTGCAATGAATCAAACAGAAACACTACAGGTGATAATCTGTGCTCCTACGTCATTTGTTTAAGCGCTGGTCCCTAAATCGGTTGTCGATCAACACCTCATTCCGAGGATCGTCTTCGGCAAAAGACACCATATGTGGGTTCCAGAAGCCTGGAGGCGTTGAACTTCGGGCGTCAACATGTCGGCAATTGTTTAAATAGTCTTTAATTTTCTCGTCAGTCAGGTTCGAGCCCATAAAGTTGATAAACTAAAATAATTATTAGGGTTTAAGTGTTGTTATATAGTTACTTATTATTGATTCTCATACCAACCTTTTCGCATTCGGCACAATTGATGTTGTAACGCTCTTTGAGCGTCAACTCAGGCTCGTTTTTAACCACAATTGGACGTGGAAACTCCTCTTCTTCCACGGAGTCCTTGCTTTCATCTTCATCTTTGATGTCCTTCATATACTTCTCAATGTCCTCGGGCAGCTTCGTTGATTCGTTACCCAAGTCCGCCTCTACTAACTGAGATATTGGCTCTTTTTTTATGGGCCGAGTAATTGGGATTGCAGACGGGTTTTCTTTATTGTGCTTTTGCTGGTCAATCATGTTCCTTTCGAACTGTCGCAAAGCATTGGAGCATGCATCATCGTCATCCTTCATAATCTCCGCCAGCACATCCATTGTGCCCAATTTTGAGACATTTTCGGGATCTTCCAGAGAGTCGTTCACAAAGATGATGTCTTGAGTGGCGGGTGTAAGAAGGACTACGCTGTCCGAGGTGTTGTTCATCTTTAGAAATGGCGGCGTTGCAGGTGGCGGCATCAGAGGGAGTTCAGAACTATTCATAATGAACTCGGCATCATCTTCCAGCTCAAAGGTGGGCTTGGGAATCTGAAGAGGACTGCCGCTGCTGCTGGTGGCATCTACCTGGACCTCGCCGGCGCTTGAAGCGGTCACGGTGTCTGCTCTGCAAACTTGGCTTTGAATATTAAACGAATTTATGTGATTTTGATTAATTACCTCTGCATTAGGGATCGAGGTGGGCGAGACCTGCTACTCGAATTGGGGCTATCCTCTATTACATCCTTTTCGCTCGTCTTGTTGCTTTCGAACTTTAGTCGAGTTTGTTTTAAATTCAGACCACTGCCCTTTTGGGTAAGTGACAATTTGGTGAGGATTGCGGGGTTCTTTGGTGTCTTACTGATCCAACTCTGGTTCGCCGTAGCCAGACTGTTTGGCTGGACGTTCTCCAAATTTCGAATATCAGGCTTTCTGTTTAGTAATAACTTTAACTTGCGCGGACTTCGCAAGGAGATGGTTTCTGTCTCCGTAATGCTTTCGTCCTCCTCCATTTCCTGATCATCGTCGGAGAGGTCGATGCTGTTGAGGGCTATGTTCATGTTCAGAGAGTTCTGACTTTGCGGCAACGGTGATATGTCATCCTTCGGTTTTTTAGGCGACAATCTTCTTCGCTTTCCTTCCTGCATCAAGGCCGTAGACTCCTGCCGTTCCTTAAGCAATTCGAGCGCCTTGTGCAGCTTTTCGTTGTGGGCTTTCAAATTCGCAATCGTCTTGTCACTCTCTTCGGAGGCTTGCTGCATCACTGTAGTTCATTTTGAAGTCACATTTTATAAATTAGTTGAAGGGGTCAATTAAGGCACACTTACTTAATGCGTGCTCTTTGATTATATCCAGTGCGGCAAAAAGGCATTTTACACTCCGCTCCTTGTGTCCTCGACATGTTCCACACGTCATTTTCTTTTAATTTTATATTTTACAATTAGCTACAATTAATGTTTTCAATTTATTTGTATGGAATGTTTATGTTCTTGCTGCGTCCACACTAGTGATGTGTCAATTTCGATTGACTCTTGCGTAGTGTTGGAAAATATTATCGTGACATCGATGTCGATTACGACTCTCACTCGTGTATAATTTTATTTTTCACCTGAAAAACTTAAAATTATTAAATAAATTAAGTAGTTTTTGGGCATGGCACACCTGCGGGAGACCTCGGACAAGGCGCTGAAGCTGCTGCGCACTTTGCCACGTGTTCAGATCGGGAATCTTCGGCCAAATCCCAACTCCAAACAGAATGTGCGTGCCAGCCGGTTGAATAACAACATGCATTTGGTTAATTTATTTTATTTTATGTGCAAATTTCTCAGGACAAGCGTGGCCGGGCCCAGCACGGCGGCGACAAGCACGGAGCAGGCAACAAGGGCTCCGGGCAGCGGCAGAACTTCATGCGACTTGGCTATGAAACGGGAAATCAGCCCTTTTACATGAGATTCCCCTACGAGCCCTACTACAAGGGACACCACCTGAAGCGTCAGTACCCGCCAATCTCCCTGATCCAGCTGCAGGTACTAATCGACACCAATCGGATAGACACAAGCCAGCCCATAGATATCAGTACGCTGTGCAACTCAGGACTGCTGAAGCTCAGGCCAGCGGAAATGGAGTACGGCTTCCAGCTCACGGATGACGGCTTGGACAACTTCAAGGCCAAGATCAACATCGAAGTGCAGCACGCCAGCGAGGCGGTCATAGCAGCTGTGGAGAAGAACGGCGGTGTGATTCGCACAGCTTACTATGATCCGCGCAGCCTGCACATGCTGGCCAATCCGAAAAAATGGTTCCAGAAGGGTGTGCCCATACCTAGCCGAATGCTACCACCCCAAGACGCCGTGGACTACTACACGAATCCCAAGAATCGCGGCTATCTGGCCAATCCTGAGGAGATTAGCAAAGAGCGCCTAGTGCTGGCCCAGAAATACGGCTATGAGCTCCCTAAAATCGAAAATGATTCCACCTACGAGATGCTTACGACCACGAAGGATCCAAGGCAAATATTCTATGGCCTGGAGCCCGGCTGGCTAATCAATATTGTGGACAAAACAATCATAAAGCGTATAGTGGAGTAAGTAGTCGAGTTCCGTTACTATGCATTTTGTTAAATAAAGAAATGGTTACAAAAAGCTGTTAGACTATGATACTGAGCGACATTTCTTGTGTCCTTGTCTTTTTTTTGTGTTCATATAAACACCTGCTTGGCCGACAGGTTCTCCATGAACGGCTTGACCACAGCACTGGTGGCGAAGCAGAATATCAATCCGAATGTTATTGAGATGGGCAGAGCGGGCAGGGCCTTGCGCCAAATGGCCAAAAGCAGGAGGGTAAGGCAGAGTCCAATAAGGATGGCCACAAAGCAAGCGATTGTAGTGGTCCAGTCGCCATAGCTAGAGGCTTTGCCCACTAATACCGAATAGAAGATGAAGTCGCCGAGGCCCAGTTTGATGCCACCTGAAGACAATTATGTAGAGTAAGGGTTTAAGTAAAATTGTTCGATCTACTAACGTTCTTCTTGCCCCTCCTGTTGACTCGGATCTGGCGCCGTCACAGTGCGATACTCGTTGGAACGTTGAGCATTGCCGCTCTGTGTACTCTGAACTTCGATCTGACGACGAGCCACTCGTTCGCTAAGATTCGCTGACCATTCTTGGGTGAATCCCGCTGCCTCAGCTGCAAAAAAAATCAGTTAAAGAGAGAAATTAAAGATAATCCTTGATTTGGAGGGCTTTGAAATTTAGTTCATTTCGCAGCATTATCTCGAATGATGTTCTACTACATAGCAGCGCTTTATACCATATGCCCAAACAATGCTAAACAAGACGTGAAAAAACAGACAATACGCCAAATAAGCAATATATACACATATTTAAAAGGATATAAAGATAAATCATAAAAATATATAATGCATATGTACCGTTTCCGCGCAAATTGCTTTTAAAAGTCACAAGTGGCATACCTTCAGCTGCCAGTGCGTTGCCGCCATCACCCCGCTGATTCTGCTGCGGATGGGGTCGGGAGTTGTTACCTGAACGTGCGCCACTACTAACCGCCGCAGCCTCTGGCGATGCCAGCGAGTTTTGTGTGGCCCGTGTCGTGGTGGTAGAATTGCTGGATGAGGGTGATGATGAGGCGGTTGCCTGTGATGGCTGCGGCGTGTAATGAGTGCCCATGTATGTGTAGATGACGGTAGCTGAGGAATAGAAACCATGTTATAACCAAGGCAATTAGATAAGTGATTTATAAATACATGAATAGATCAAAGCGGGGAAGATTTGTTCATTCCGCTCCTGTGCCGTCTCCACAAGTATTCGTAGAGGCCCTCTCGGCGAGAGCACAGCTATGAGATCTGTGGAATACATAAGACACATTAAAATATGCTCATCTCAATTAGTCTGACCTAAAGCTTACCCCAAATAGAAATGGCAGCCAGCACAGCCCAGGCAGTCCATTCAGGCAGATATTTGATGAAAACCAAGGCCATGAGGGCTGCCACGAATATAAGGTATCCCTGCTGCAACCTCAGTGGTCCCTGCCAGTGTATTGACATCATTCCGACCACACCAAAGTTCCACATGATCAGCAGGGCCGTAGGATAGTCCATGGGTATGTTATAGGCACGCAGGAGCTCCCTTTAACAAACGAAAATATAATATAAAAATTCAACAAAAATGATATCCCTACTTACTCCAGGTATAAGTACGTAAATATGAACAATAGCATAAAAGAGGAGAGTATAAGCCACCCATGAATGATGCGATAGCAACGTTTTTTATACAAAACAATCAACAGAATGGTCATGACTACCACCACACTCATCAGAATCAGGGAGTTCGCCAGGGCATTCCAGAATTTAACGCTCGGTTCTGGCGAAAGCTCATGGAAAGGAGTATACAAGCTGAAGAAGAAGAGTCAGCCAGTTAGTGGGTGCACTTATGCAGAGGCGTATTTAACTCACAGATAGACATCCGTGCTGGAATAGAAGCTGATGGAGTTGATAGTGGCCACCACAACCAACATGCAGAGGGAGACGGGTACAAACAATTTAATAACATGCTGAGCGCCGTATTTCAAGCCCTGTTCTTCCTCCGTTTCATTTGTGGGCGGACCACCACCGCCACCCCCGCTCAGTCTTGAAGAATGTGGTCCGCCAGAGTCTCGTATCACCACATTGGGGACTGCAAGAATAGCCTGTGCAGAAAACAAATAAAATCAATCATAATTCTCACGCAGAATCGAAGTTGAACCCACAGCATCTGGTGTATCCTGGTCATTGGATCCGTAATTGCTCCGTTGCTGATGTTGCTGCCGCTTTGGAGGACGCTCCAAACGCTCTGTTTCGCCGTTCAGGCTGCCGTCATCAGCACCCACTCCCACACCCGATGGCCCGGAGGAGCTGGTAGACTGGACATGAGCAGCCATGAGTGGTGTGCGTTCGTTCGCCTCCGTAGCGCTGGACGCCGACCCCTGCGAAGCCGTATTTGTGTGTTTGGGGGCTTTCAGGCGTTCGATATCGTTTAGTTGTTGATTTTCCAGGGAAATGCGGGCGGCATAGGTACTCACGATTTGAGGAACCAAAGAAAATATCAATTTGCGAAAACTTTCTTTTGTTTTGACAAGAACGCGACTCATAGACTAGTGATGGACCAACACTGGTCCGGCTTAGCCATCGATTTTTGATAATTTTCTATGCAAAAGTGATTTTAAAAATATAATTTAATTAAACAGACAGAATGATATAATTTATTTTCTCTTTTCGTAGTCTTTGGAATAAGATATAATAACTTTAAAATGACTTTTGGTTTAAAAGAATTTAATTTCGATAAATCAAAATACCTATCGTAGTAAAAAATACCAAAGTAAATGCTGGTCACACAAATCATTTCATAAGACCCGACAAAACAACATAATTTAAGAAAACAATTTAAAATTGAACTATGTTGCGAGCCTTAAAATCACACGTTGAAACTCCCATAGTGATTGTCACCGTAAGTAATATTATTTGAATTACTTACATCCACGTGTTAAGTCGATCCAATATATTTATTGATTGAATTCCCAGCGTGCGGCGTCAACAAATGCGGAAAAGCTGGAGGAGATCCGCGAACGCCTGGCCAAGGGTCCCAATTTCCAGGACTTCGTTCAGAATCCGGACTACTCAAAAGCGAATGGGATGACTATGCGGGAAAGTTGCGACGCGAAAAGGGCGAGGAGCAGCGCCTGCGGCTGCCTCCCTGGCTGAAGACCACGATTCCAGTGGGCAAGAACTACGCCCGGATCAAGGAACAGATGCGTGAGCTTAAGCTCTCCACCGTGTGTGAGGAGGCGCGGTGTCCAAACATTGGGGAGTGCTGGGGCGGCGGCGAACACGGCACTCAAACAGCCACGATTATGGTGAGAAGCCTCCCCTTGACCTTGACCTACGTTGATAAGCGAAAGTATTCAGTGAAAATCCAGAGACTTAACATTCCTATGATTATTTCCAGCTAATGGGTGACACATGCACGCGAGGCTGTCGCTTTTGTTCGGTGAAAACAGCCAGAAAACCTCCGCCACTGGACGTAAATGAGCCTGTGAATACCGCCACGGCTATTGCATCCTGGGGATTGGACTACATTGTTCTGACCTCCGTGGATCGCGATGGTCAGTACTCGTGTAACTTTGAAATTACTAGGTTCTATATAGAACTGTATTTCTTTGCAGATTTGGCTGATGGTGGCTCAAAGCACATTGCAGAAACTGTAAAGGAAATCAAGGCGCGGTAAGAACAATAGACTGGTTATTAAGTATCCATACTATGGACTCGCTAGTTATACAAATGGGACTCAATATTAACTTTATCAAAACCAATAATATCTTTCAGGAACTCCAACATCTTTGTGGAGTGCTTGGTGCCAGATTTTCGTGGGAATCTCGAGTGCGTGGAGACGATTGCCAATTGCGGCCTTGATGTTTACGCGCACAACATTGAGACGGTTGAGAAACTTACTCCTTATGTGCGAGATAGACGCGCCCATTATCGGCAGACTCTTCAGGTCCTCACCGAAGCGAAGCGTTTTAATCCCAATCTCATAACAAAGAGCTCCATCATGCTGGGGCTCGGAGAAACCGACGAGGAGATTGAGACCACATTGAAGGACTTGAGGAATGCCGGTGTCGACTGTGTCACCTTGGGTCAGTACATGCAGCCTACGAATAGACATCTTAAAGTCATCGAGTACGTTACGCCCGAGAAATTCAAGCACTGGGAGGAGCGCGGCAACGAGCTAGGATTCCTCTACACAGCCAGTGGACCTCTGGTTCGGAGCTCTTATAAAGCCGGGGAGTTCTTTATCACGAGTATATTGGAGAACCGGAAGAAGAACCAGAGCGAAAGTGCATCGCAGAAGGATTAAGAAAATTGTTGATTTTTTAAGATTCGATAAATTGTAGGTGCCTGATACACAAATGGATAAGTTTAGTTCTGTTTTTATTCGCAAAACTGCCTTTTATTGTGCAATGTATGTATATATACAAAATTACAAACTAATTTGGTTATAAATGTATAATAAATTCGAATTGTTATTGATAGTTTTTATGAAAGCGATTTATGCGATTGAAAAGGCAGGTTTAAAATTGTAATTGTTATCAACTTCGTATAGAATTTTTATGCCAAGCTGATTGCATCAATTAAAACATTTATTATCTTTTACAATTTATTTTTGTGGTTGTAAAATTAATTTAAATTAAACATGTTATGGCGTTAGTCCCACCTATTCGGTTTATTTTGTGTATAGCATCCTGGTCACACTGAATCGAATTGCTCCTCTATTATTGTTTTTGTTTGCGCATTGATTGAATTGAATTGAATAGAGCGGAAGCCTGTTTTTAAAAAAGACAAAGAAACCAGCATTTTCAAGATGCCCCGCTTGGTCAACGGAAGAGAGGCCGCACCCACGTACTCGAATTTGGTAAGAAGCAAGCGAGTTACTGCTTTGGACACAAAACAAAAACATGCACTAGTTCCCTGTTTACTATCTTTCTTGCGCCATAAATACTATGTTTAGTTGGGTTCAGTGACCATGTGTAAACTTATCTAGTTCAGCTTCTCCTTTATGAACTGGGAGTGAATGTAATTGCATTTATGTATGTCTGTACAAACAAGTGATTGCACAATTTTTGCTGCGTAGGCAAAATTCCTGCCGAATTCGGATACCGAAAACGAAACATCTGTTGCTTTTTTTTTCTTCCATGAGTAATGCATATATTCTTTTTTTTGTATTCATAGGTCGGCTTCATATTCATCTTCAATCTTATTGTGGGAACTGGAGCTTTAACTCTGCCTGGTGTTTTCGCCAAGGCGGGGTGGATGCTGAGCTTGATTGTTATCGTGCTGTTAGCCATAGTCAGCTACATGACCGTCACTTTTATTATCGAGGCCATGGCCTGTGCAAATGCCATCCGGAACTGGCAAACGCTGCAGGCTTTGCGCCAAACCAGGAGTTCGGCGGAAAGCAGTGAGAACGACGACAATGCGGACGAGGTTTCCCTGGCATCTGGAACGGATCAGGTTGGCGACTTTGAGCGCGTGCCGCTGACCATCCAGAACAGGGAGTTCCACTACTATCAGCTGTCACACAAATTCGAGCTTGGGGAAATGGCGACACTCTTCTTCAACGAATTCGGACGCATTATGTTTTATCTCTGCCTGATAGTATATCTGTACGGCGACCTGAGCATATATTCTGCCGCCGTGGCAAGAAGTCTGCGGGACGTTGTGTGGTGAGTATCTGATTGCTGGCTTGCTTCCCTGGTTGCTAAAAAATACAATTATTCTAACTTTAGTGACCACACCAATGGAACAGATGCGAACAATTTAATGTTATGGCCGGGAGATTTTAAGAACAACACAGCGCGACCCTGTTGGAGGGAACACACCATATCTCGGCTTAGCATGTACAGAGTGTTTTTGATCGGATTCACCCTAATATTCGGTCCTTTTGCTGCTTTCAATGTACAAAAAACCAAATATTTGCAGATGCTAACCGCTGTCTTCCGTTGGTTGGGTAAGTAAGGCCAGAGATTGTCGAATGAAAAGTCTTATCACTTTTGTTTTACAGCCTTTACGCTGATGATCTGTATATCGTTGAAGCTACTAATTACTCAAGGTGCCAGGGGACACCCAGAAAGCTTTAATGTGTATGGTATTCCGTCGCTTTTTGGCGCTTGTGTCTACTCCTTTATGTGCCACCACTCCTTGCCCAGTCTGCTGGCACCACTCAAGCACAAGTCGATGGTATCGAAGATTCTGTCTATTGACTATATCGTCATCTGTGCATTTTACATTTTACTAGCCATGACAGGCATATTTGCCTTTGAGCGAATCGAAGATCTTTACACTTTGGACTTCCTCCCCTACGATGTCACCTACATAGACTTTTGGTCGGGTCTTTTAATTTGCATTGATTACTTCCTTGCTCTCTTCCCCATCTTTACTCTGTCGACCAGCTTCCCCATCGTGGCCATAACCCTGAAAAACAATCTCCAAGCTCTGTTTCTAGACATGTCCCAATACGAGTCGTACAGCCTCCTCGTCCGCCTGATTTTCCCTCTATTCGCCATCATTCCGCCGTTCTGTATTACATATTTCACCGAAAGTCTGTCCAGTTTAGTGGCTTTTACTGGTACGTATGCTGGAACTGGAATACAGTATCTAATCCCAATTTTCCTGGTGTATTTTGCAAGAAAAACGTGCTCGGAGCTTCTGGGAAGCGGCGTTGTAAATCAGTTCCAAAGTCCCTTTAAGTCCAGTGCTTGGCTTGTTTTCGTTTTAATTTGGTCCATTTTATGCGTCTGCCTTGTATCTATTAATTTATTTAGCTAAAGTAACTTATTGCCCAACTAGCACAGGTATTTTTACTTGTCTTATCACGAATCAATTATAGATTTGTAGTTGTACATATATTTTAAGAGAAGAATTAATTTTAAAATGCGAATTTTTTAGGATTGTAAGTGAGTATTGAAATCGGCTGTGAAAAACAAAAATAAATTTCAATAGCGTTATTATATTAAATATGTTAATGGAAACCCTATTTAAAATATATATTCTTAATATATGGTTTTGAATTAATATTTTAACGCTTAACCTTTCTGCAAACTAAATATATCAACATTTTTAAAAATTCGTTAATTTAATATAAAAATTGAAAAATTACATGACTCCCTCATTTCGTTGCAAACTTAAGACTAAACTAAACCTCTATTAAATTTATGGAACTATTTGGATTTTTTAAATGGTAAATAATTTAACAATTGTGCAAAAATATATAAAATATAAATCTTAAGTGTTACACGAATTTAATAAATGTTAATTTAAATACAACTGTTTTTAAAATATATTAATATGAAAATATTCAAATGAAACTTTTTATCCGTAGAGTAACGGATAACGGATATTTTATAACAGTGTGACCTTAGTCCATACATCAGAATGTGTATAGCTATCGAACAGTCTATCGAAATCTCCCCATCTCCAAAAAAAGATATAGTTACCAATTGTTTTTATTTTGTTTTTCTACGCTTTTTGTAGTTTATAAGCCCATCTATGATTAATTAACACAATTAGTAGGAAGTACAAATGTCTTTATCTGTGGACAACAACAAGGCGGGCCTCAGAAAGATGGATATGAAGCTGGAAAACTATCCCACCTGCGCCGTGGAGGCACTAACTCGATTAGGTAAACTAATTTTTCCAAACTAAGCATTTATGTAGCTTTAACTATTGAATTTGCAGAAACCTTGATTGCCAGCCGAAATAAGCAGAACATGGTGATGCAAATCATATCGGAGTACATATTTCTGGAGAGGAGCGCCAAGGATGGCCCCCTAAAGTCGCAGGCGCTGCCGATCAGTCAGTTAAACTTGTTTCAGGAGTTTCAGCTGATCATTGCGCTGATTGAGTATTTCTCGCGGCCCGGCAGGGATGCCACCCGCAATGCCATATTCCTTTCATTGTTCGGCAGTCACTTGACCCCCCAACGCTCCAAGCTTCTGTCCCGCCTTATAAGCACAGCAGTTTCCGGTTCCGTAGCGCCGCTGCTCTCCTCCGCCGGCACCTGGATGCAGCAGGTGGGCTGCAAAACTCCACTCAGCTTGGAGGTGGCGCAAAATATAGTTAGCGACTTTATATCATACACGCGAAAGACGCCCGAGCAACTAAAGCATTTGCCGATGGTTGGGTCACACTTTGCGGCCAACTTTATGGTGGCCGTGGCGGATCTCTATCTGAACGAGCAGCGCTCCCATGTACTGACACCGCCTCCAGATGCGTTGCTGGACACAATTACTGAATGGATGACGGAGAATCCCACGTTGTGTCAAGCTTCGCAGCAGCCCTTGATTCTGCCTGCAGGTGCTATAGCTATGCCCTTCGCTACCCCTTTGGCCGGACTTTTACGATGGGTGGTGCTGGCTCCCTTAGTTTCCAACAGGCCTGCCTACAGCAATCTGCATCTATCTCTCCTGCGAACGCTCCAGCAGCTAGTTAGCAGCGGAGAGACCACTGCTCTGCCCATCCAGGACCTCATGCAAATTGTGCAATCCCTGCAGAACCATTGCGCTCGTCTCAGCGAGTCGAAGGCGGACCCGGATACGGATGCACCCTATCAGAAGTGCATGGAACGTTTTGCCCAAGCCGTACAAATCGCTTTAAGCTCAAACTGCATCACCAATCAGATACAGTTGCTATGTGTCCTGGAATCTTTACCCCCACATAAACTGATGAAGATCGTCATAGCCGCTCACAAGAAATAGTAGAATATGAAATTTAATTAAAATATAAATCATTTTACATCGACTTGACAAACAACTTATGGGATTAGCTTTATCACCATGTTTCTAAGGGTACTAAAAATGTAAGTTGCACTTTCTAAATACCTTTGTTAACTCCTCAATTGAGCAATATTCCTCCCAGAATTTCCCAAGAATTTATATTTTATTCAGTATGCTTTTTTCTATTATTTTATTTAAAAATAATCTTAGCCCGGGCAGTTCGGATGCTGCCATACCGATAGGAAAGGTATACCGCGCATGTCCTTGAAATCAAGTAATGGGCAGTTGAAAGGACCTGCGGCAATGTGGTAAAAATCAATACTCTTCCAGTTTCATGCTTTAGTTGCGGTGCAAGCTTGTTGAATAGAAACCAAAACGTCGTTCGGTAACCTCCGAGAGGGTACTCACTTGGCATTTCATATAAATGATGCAATGAATCCTGTGCCGAGCCGCGAATTCCTCGAGGTCCATCCTCTGCACCAGCATCAGCCGCACTGCAAGCAACAATGTTTTGTGTTCACGGAGATAGCGGACATCGAGCTACCCGCGGAGATAACCAAGTTCGGTGGCGGAACCGAAAAGATTAGGTGTTCCAATGGCGGCATACCCACCTACAGTACCAAGAAGGACTCCTGCAGCGAGTCCTCGGGCGAACGTCCAGAGAGATCCAGGGGTCGCAAGATTCTACTGGGCGTGGGTGTGGTACTAATCTGCATCGCCATGGCCGGAGGGATACCCCTGGCTCTGCAACTCCGCTCCTCATCGCTTCTGGAGGCTCGGCTAGCTTTCATACGCCGCCTGCTGACGGAGTCGCCCCTAATCGAGGGCTCCTGGAAGCCACCCAGCACCATGAATCTGAACAGCAGCAATCTGTTCGAGGTGCGACAGAATCACATTGGGGCTGTGCTCTGGCCCATTGCCGTGCCGTGCGGAGCCCAGTACCTGGACGCAGTGCAGCTCACGCTGGAGGGTATCGATAGGGCCAAGCGCATCACCGCAGCCAGCGATCTCATGCACATTGTGGAATCCGCCGATGAGATGGAGCAGACACATATCCGTGGCGAAGTGGCAGTTTTAATGGGCATCAGTGGAGGTCATGCCCTCGGTACCAGCACGGCGGTTCTCCGCTCAATCTATTTGTTGGGAGCTCGGTTCGTGTCCATCACCAGCTTAGAGTGCACCACTCCTTGGGCGGCAGCGGCCATCCGAAGGCCCGATTACCTTGTCGAGGAGAATGTGACGAATTCTTTCAACGAATTCGGACAGGTTAGTAATTAAAAATTAATAATTAATTAGTAATTGATAAATATATTTTTTTCCGCTTTCAGACTATGCTCTTCGAGATGAATCGTCTGGGAATGCTTGTGGAGATATCGATGCTTAGCGAGGCTGCCATGTTGGCCGTCTTGAAAACGGCCAAGGCGCCCGTACTCCTCACAAACGCCACACCGCTTTCTATGTGCAACAGCACCAACATAGCATCCATTCCCGACCACGTACTAAGGTAATATACCACTTGAACCGCATCTTACTCATCTAATCCTATCCATAAACCTAAGCCTGTTGCCCGAAAACGGAGGAGTGATACTGCTCAACTTGGAGCGCTGCGGAGATCGGACTCTGGGCGTCCGGGAGGCCATCACTGCTATTAACTATGTGCGCAAGGTGGCCGGTGTGGATCACATTGGATTAGGTGGTGCACCCAAAAGCTATGCCCTGCTGCTGGCCGAACTGGCCCGGGATCGAGTCTGGGGTAATGCGGCCATCAAGAAGCTGGTGGGCGGCAATGTAATGCGGATTCTGCGCGAGATCGAGACCCTGAAGAACCGACTGCCGCTGTACGAGGAATGGATTCCGCACGAGTCCATCGAGAGCAACTCCTATTGCCGCTATCCGGAGTCTTAAGAGCAGCTCCTTTAATTAGCTCAATTAGCGTTTGTTCTCACACACACATAATTACCGAACTATTTAATTATATTATTAAATTACAATCGGTGCGTACAACTTTAATTGTAAGTGAAAGTATGAGCATATTTAGATGAGATTATGTTATCCTTAACGGACTTTCCCTTATCCCCGATTCAGCGCCTTGGGCGAGCTGTACATTTGTACATAGGTTTATATTTAATGAATATCATTCTAGGTTAAATACATATCGGTGTATGGACATATTATAATATGGTTACGCTTAACGGCTACTAGAACTTCAACGACTATTTTACACTGATGCCCATCCGCACTCCGAGAGTCAGGGAAATCACTTCTTGCTCTAATGGCCGCTCGTTTGCCTCGCGCTTAACAATCTTCCGGGAAAGGAGATCCTCGTTTTGATCTAGGGCCTGGTCATCGGATCCGACATCACGCTTCACTCTCGATGGCTCGGCCTCGTCGTCGTCCAGTTCGAAGACATTGTTGTCCGTGAAGGCCAAATGGTTGATCTCCTTGAAGAAGGAGGTCTTCGCGTTACGAATGGTTCTATCGTAACCAGGATCGCTCAATGGTGGCAGATATGTGGCAGGAATTCGACTGGTGCCCCTGTAGCCAGAGTCAGGACAACGTGGATCGATGGATCCCGGGTAGCAGTAAGCTGGCGTGGTAGCGTCGATCACCGTCCTCGTCGTTGTTACCACCAGGCATCCAGGATCTGGGGAGCCTGGATAGCAGCTAGGCCTATTAGTTGGCGTTGGTTCTTGCGGACAACGTCTGTCCTTTGAGCCTGGATAACAGTTAGGCTTGGAAGTGGTTACAGGTGTTCTTGTTGTCGGGGGCGAGTACGTTACTGGCACGCAGTCAGGATCAGAAGAGCCCGGGAAACACCTTGGCCTTTGTGTAGTAATTGGTGTTCTTATTGTTGTCGGCTGTGTCACTGTTGGACACCTTGGATCGGTAGATCCAGGATAGCAATTGGGCTTTGGTGCAATAGTCGGAGGACGATGACTTGATGGTGGCAAGTAAGTGGCAGGCTGGCATTTCGGATCATCCGAACCCTCGTAACATCCTTCCCTCCTAGTTGTTGGAACCTTTGGGCATCTTGGATCAGGCGATCCGGGGAAGCAGTTAAGGCATTCAGGATCTGAAGAGCCGGGATAGCACTTTGGCTGTGGCGTGGTAGGTGGAATTTTCGGGCAACGGGGGTCCGAAGAGCCTGGATAGCAATTGGGTTTGGAAGTAGTAATTGGAGTCCTTGTTGTAGGAGGAGTGTAAGTGGCTGGCTGGCACTCAGGATCTGTAGATCCTGGATAGCATTTCGGCCTTTCAGTCGTTACTCTTGGGCACCGACTATCAGTTGATCCTGGATAGCAATTTGGCTTTGAAGTAGTTATAGGCGTTCTCGTTGTATTCGGAGTGTAAGTGGGCCTAGCAGTTTGAATCGTGGTTCTTGTTGTTACTGGAGGAAGATAAGTGGCTGGTTGGCACTCGGGATCTGATGAGCCAGGATAACATCTTGGCTTGGGTGTTGTAATGGGAACTCTAGTTGCTGGTTGACACTCAGGGTTCTTAGATCCAGGATAGCACCTCGGTTCTTGTGTTGTTGGAGGCAATTGCGGGCAGCGTCTATCTGTCGATCCTGGATAACAATTTGGCTTCGACGTAGTTATAGGCGTCTTAGTTGTAGGAGGAGAATAAGTGGGCCTGGCAGTTGAAAAAGTGGTTCTTGCAGTCACTGGAGGAATATAAGTTGCTGGTTGACACTCAGGATCTGATGAGCCTGGATAACATCTTGGCTTAGATGTAGTTATAGGTGTTCTAATTGTTGTTGCCGGACACCGTGGATCCGTTGATCCTGGGTAGCAATTGGGCTTAGGCGCAACAGTAGGTGGACGATGAGTTGATGGTGGCAAGTAAGTAGCAGGCTGGCATCTTGGATCATCCGAACCGTCATAGCAGCCTGCCCTCCTGGTGGTCGGCACTTTGGGGCACCTTGGGTCAGGCGATCCCGGGAAACAATTCAAACATTCAGGATCTGAAGATCCCGGATAGCACTTGGGCTGTGGCGTGGGAAGGGGAATCTTTGGGCACCGAGGATCCGAGGAGCCAGGATAGCAATTCGGCTTGGAGGTAGTAATCGGAGTCCTCGTTATTGGAGGAGTGTAAGTGGCTGGCTGACATGCAGGGTCATTAGATCCTGGATAACACCTTGGCTTTGCAGTAGCAATTGTTGTACGCCTAGTTGTGGGTGGCAGATAAGTGGCTGGCTGGCACTCAGGATCTGTAGATCCTGGATAACACTTTGGCCGTTGGGTCGTCACTCTTGGGCACCGGCTATCAGTGGATCCTGGATAACAATTAGGCTTGGAAGTGGTTATTGGTGTCCTTGTTGTCGGTGGAGCAAAAGTGGATGGCTGACATTCAGGGTCAGTAGATCCTGGATAACACCTTGGCTTTGCAGTAGCAATTGTTGTACGCCTAGTTGTGGGTGGCAGATAAGTGGCTGGCTGGCACTCAGGATCTGTAGATCCTGGATAGCATTTTGGCCTTTGAGTCGTTATTCTTGGGCACCGGCTATCAGTGGATCCTGGATAACAATTAGGCTTGGAAGTGGTTATTGGTGTCCTTGTTGTCGGAGGAGCAAAAGTGGATGGCTGACATTCAGGGTCAGTAGATCCTGGATAACACCTTGGCTTTGCAGTAGCAATTGTTGTACGCCTAGTTGTGGGTGGCAGATAAGTGGCTGGCTGGCACTCAGGATCTGTAGATCCTGGATAGCATTTTGGCCTTTGAGTCGTTATTCTTGGGCACCGACTATCAGTGGATCCTGGATAGCAATTCGGCTTGGATGTAGTAATTGGAGTCCGCGTCGTCGGAGGAGAATAAGTTGCAGGTTGACATTCAGGATCACTTGAGCCTGGGTAGCACCTAGGTTTCGATGTCGTTACCTGTGACTTTGTTGGAATTGTTACTCTCCTTGTTGTCGGTGGGATATAAGTGGCTGGTTGGCACTCGGGATCTGAAGAGCCTGGATAACATCTTGGCTTCGATGTAGTTACTGGTGGTTTAAGTGTTGTTGCCTTTGTAACTGCCGGACACCGTGGATCCGTTGATCCTGGGTAGCAATTGGGCTTAGGCGCAACAGTAGGTGGACGATGAGTTGATGGTGGCAAGTAAGTAGCAGGCTGGCATCTTGGATCATCCGAACCGTCATAGCAGCCTGCCCTCCTGGTGGTCGGCACTTTGGGGCACCTTGGGTCAGGCGATCCCGGGAAACAATTCAAACATTCAGGATCTGAAGATCCCGGATAGCACTTGGGCTGTGGCGTGGAAGGGGGAATCTTCGGGCACCGGGGATCCGAAGAGCCTGGATAGCAATTCGGCTTGGAGGTAGTAATCGGAGTTCTCGTTGTTGGAGGAGCAGAAGTGGCTGGGAGACATGCAGGGTCAGTAGATCCTGGATAACACCTTGGCTTTGCAGTAGCAATTGTTGTACGCCTAGTTGTGGGTGGCAGATAAGTGGCTGGCTGGCACTCAGGATCTGTAGATCCCGGATAGCATTTGGGTCTTTGAGTCGTTATTCTTGGGCACCGACTATCAGTGGATCCTGGATAACAATTAGGCTTGGAAGTGGTTATTGGTGTCCTTGTTGTCGGAGGAGCAGAAGTGGCTGGCTGACATGCAGGGTCATTAGATCCTGGATAACACCTTGGCTTTGCAGTAGCAATTGTTGTACGCCTAGTTGTGGGTGGCAGATAAGTGGCTGGCTGGCACTCAGGATCTGTAGATCCTGGATAGCATTTTGGCCTTTGAGTCGTTATTCTTGGGCACCGGCTATCAGTGGATCCTGGATAACAATTAGGCTTGGAAGTGGTTATTGGGGTCCTTGTTGTCGGAGGAGCAGAAGTGGCTGGCTGACATTCAGGGTCAGTAGATCCTGGAGAGCACCTTGGCTTTGCAGTAGCAATTGTTGTACGCCTAGTTGTGGGTGGCAGATAAGTGGCTGGCTGGCACTCAGGATCTGTAGATCCTGGATAACATTTTGGCCGTTGGGTCGTCACTCTTGGGCACCGGCTATCAGTTGATCCTGGATAGCAATTCGGCTTGGATGTAGTAATTGGAGTCCGCGTCGTCGGAGGAGAATAAGTTGCAGGTTGACATTCAGGATCATTTGAGCCAGGATAGCACCTTGGTTTAAGAGTCGTCACTGGCTCCTTCGGACACCGCCTGTCAGTGGAACCCGGATAACAATTAGGCTTAGAAGTAGTTATTGGCGTTCTAGTCGTCGGTGGTTGGCACACAGGATCATTGGATCCTGGATAGCACCTTGGTTTTTCTGTTGGAATTGGTGCTTTCGTTGTTGGCCGAGGTTCCTGCGGGCACCTAGGGTCCTTCGATCCTGGATAGCATCGAGGTTTTGGTGCAATCGTAGGCGGACGATAGGTCGATGGTGGTAGATATGTAGCAGGCTGGCATTTAGGATCATCCGAACCCTCATAACATCCTGCCCTCCGAGTTGTTGGAACCTTGGGGCATCTTGGATCAGGCGATCCGGGGAAACAGTTAAGGCATTCAGGATCTAATGAGCCGGGGTAGCACTTTGGCTGTGGCGTGGTAGGTGGCATCTTCGGACAACGGGGGTCCGAAGAGCCTGGATAGCAATTGGGCTTGGATGTAGTAATCGGAGCCCTTGTTGTCGGAGGAGCGTAAGTGGCAGGTTGACATTCAGGGTCAGTAGATCCTGGATAGCACCTAGGCTTAACTGTGGGAATCGTTGTCCTCGCAGTCACTGGAGGAAGATATGTTGCTGGTTGGCACTCGGGATCTGATGAGCCAGGATAACATCTCGGCTTGGGTGTTGTGAGGGGAACTCTAGTTGCTGGTTGACACTCAGGGTTCTTAGATCCAGGATAGCACCTTGGTTCCTGTGTTGTTGGAGACTTCTGCGGGCAGCGTCTATCTGTTGAGCCTGGATAACAATTTGGCTTCGACGTTGTTATTGGTGTCCTCGTTGCAGGTGTGGTGTATGTTGGCCTAACAGTTGGAATCGTTGTCCTTGCAGTTACTGGGGGAAGATATGTAGCTGGTTGACACTGGAGATCTGTAGACCCCGGATAACATCTTGGTCTGGTAGTCGTTACTCTTGGGCATCGACTATCAGTAGAGCCTGGATAGCAATTGGGCTTGGAAGTGGTAAGCGGAGTCCTTGTTGTCGGAGGAGAGTAAGTTGGTGGTTCACATTCGGGATCGGATGAGCCTGGGTAGCACCTGGGCTTCGATGTAATTACAGGTGACTTTGTTGGAATTGTTACTCTCTTTGTGGTCGGTGGGAGATAAGTGGCTGGTTGGCACTCGATGTCATTGGATCCTGGATAGCATTTTGGTTTCGTTGTGGTAATTGGTATCCTTGTGGCGGGTTGGCAAATGGGATCAGTTGATCCAGGATAGCAACGTGGCTTGGGCGTGCGGTCCGGAACTCTTCTCGTTGTGGGCGGAAGATAAGTAGCTGGCTGGCATTCAGGGTCATCGGATCCCGGGTAACACCTGGGCTTAGATGTTGGCGGTTGCGGACAACTAGGATCGCGTGATCCCGGGTAGCAGCGCGATTTCGGCGAAAATGTTGATGTTATGGGAATTCTTATGGTGGTTTGTGGCACGGTAGGTGTCTGGCAACCTGGATCCCTTGACCCGGGATAGCAGCGAGGCTTTGGCGTTGTATTCTTCAGGTGATTCTGTAGACACAGTGGGTCTGTGGAATCCTCGGGGCACGAGATGGTCCTGGAATCGCCACAAGAGGGATGTCTCCGCGGATCTGTGGGGTCCTCTGGGCAAAAGATATTATTGGAATCGTCACAAGAGTTATCCCTCTGGCAGGCGCCATTACAAAGCTCAATGTCGCACTTTAGGTAGACCTGGGACCGATCGGGGAACCGGAAGGCCTTCAGGGTGTTATAGTAGGTGGAGGTGAGACTGGAGGCCCCCTCGTATCTTCTCCACTCCCCAAATATCTTCTTCTTAATCGAGCAGCCTCGCTTGTCCGAGAGCTGCAGCCTCTTTGTGGTTCGGGCTTCGAAGTCCATGTCGTCCGAGGCGTAGCACTGCAGGATATTCACATCCCACGACTGCTCCGAGTGCTCCACGTTGATGGTGAACGTGATGTCGGCTCCGAGACTGAGACTTCCCACAATGGGCTTGATGTTGGGCGGAGTGCCAATGCCGATTTCCATCCAGCACTTGACGGGACCACTGGGAGTGTCCACGGAAATGACCTCCAGCATGTCCACCACAAATGGCTTGAAGTACACGGTTTTCTCCCGCTCATCGCCCCGACTGCACGATATTTTTCGCGCAATATCGAAGCTATTCTGAATGTCCCTGTCATCCTGGATGATCAGGATATTCTCGACGGAGGCGCACACGGAGCAGGCGGGCTTGCTGCCGCAACCGTCATATGGCACAGAGAATACAAAGTTGCGACCAGCTCTGTCGCCCTTTACATAGCTTTTGGACGAAAAACAATAACATTAATTATAGAAAACTGAACTCCCTCCCATATATTAATATTGGAAAACATACTTGCACTTGGGATCGTTAAAGTATCCCTGACTGTAGATGACTCCTTCAAAGTCCTCCGAGAACTCCACCTCGACCAACATGCCATTGCCTTGGTCGCATTTTACATCGATCTTCTCGATGTTTTTGGCCGACAAAGATGTGTCGCGGATTAATCTGGACGAAGAGTCGTCGTCGAATTCAAGTTCACTCAAAACATCGTTGAGAGTGTCATCGCCGCTCAGATCAGTGCTCGAAGTAATGGCCTTGAACGTTAATCGGAATAATATTCATAAACTGATTGCGATCTCTAGAGATTCGATGTGATTGCACTCACCAAGAGCAAGGCCCACACGAATATGTGGCCGATGTTGACCATCTTCTTTATTATAAGTCTTAAGCTTTATTCTGTGATCAAGTAAATAAAAATGTTGTGAAAGATAAATTTATAGAGGTTGTGTTATTAAAGAGTTGAAAGACTTATTATTAAAGTATTAAAGTCAACTCTATAACCATATACTCGTTTCTAATATTTCCGATCTAAACTAATGACAGATCATTAAATATTAATTGTTGACTTTTACAATGGTATTTATTGAGGAATATATTTAAGTAAAATCTAAAAAAGGAACTAGCAAGGTCTGAAGTAAAATGACAGGGTTAAAACTAACAAATATTATTGCTTTACTTTAAGGAATTTCCATATTTATTGAAACATCGGCTCAGCATTAATCTTTAAATATGAAGATAACACCAAATTAATGGGCGTCTAAGTTTATACTCTTCAAGTAAACAAAATATTAATGCTGGTAATTATATCTGCGCTGACAGGTAAGATTATTTTTGAGTTTAATTTTTTTCAATAAATTATAATTATTGCCATACTATCTTAATAATATTGACTTTAATTTATGGCCCATTTCAACTCGTTAATCGAGGTGGCAACCTAATCCCTCGACCAAACGACCTTCGTCGTGATTCATTAATGGGTTAGGCGGAAAAGGGTTGACCGATGGCATCGTAAAAGCTCGATGAGGAAATTATTTTTGGCGAAAAACGAAATATGTATAGGCGTTCGCCGTGAGTTTTGTCAACTCAATCTCCATCTCCATCTCCATCTCTAGAGCACCTGGCGAGGTGAGGTAAGATCTTCTTTATCGCTAATTACGGCTGAGTACGAGTACGAGTATTTGCACGAGCCGCGCGAGATGTGATGTGATGAGATGAGCCGGACCTCTTTTGCCCGATGGAACGGAGGGTGCTGCACCGACTCCGTGTCGCGGCACTAAAACGGGTTTGGTTTTTTAAATAATACAACTAACCTTTAAAAAGAAAAAGAGAAAAATGTCTGCGGCGGATTTCAAAATCCATAAATTCAGCACGAAGCGAAGGGAGGCGGCGGCGAAACAAATAGTGACGAGTGTCTAGTGCCTAGTGCCTATTTGCTTAGCCGCAGTTGATAATAAAAGGGGCTTCGATTTTTGGGGCCTTTTGTCTATGGCATTGGCTTCGGCTTCTGCAATTCCGTCGGTTGTTTTTACCAAACGAGATGTGGCTATGGAAGTGGATGTGGATGATTAGGTGCTTTTTCATTGTGGCCCCTTTTGTCTAGGTTATTCCAAGCATTAAGCTAACGAGACGTGAAAAAAGTACCATTTGATTACGGATGATTTGGCGTGTGGAGAAGGAGAGTCTTCTTCTGTGTTTGTTCTTCTCGAGACTTGCGTCACTCCTTGGATAATTTCAATGTTGGGATCAATGATTATGATAATGATTCAATTAATTAATAAAGCCTTTGGGTGCTGATATTGCTTTCGCTTATCCAAAAGATTCCCCTTTTACTTATAGTTCCCTATACAAGCTCAAGACCTCGTCGCGCTTGTAAATAAAATTAGTAAGATGTCCAGCGGATTATTATGATGATGAAACACTACTAACCTAACCACCTTCATTCATACATCCGATTCATATTCAACGCGATTAATATGGTATTTCTTTTGGTGCCTGCTTCTCCTTGCCTCGCTTAACCCAATTTTTTTATTAGCTCTCCAACCTCAGATATATCTCAGTTTGCACGTCGCGCATAATTATATATCCAATTTGATAAAAATTGGTTCACTATGTCAAAAAATTGCTCATTTATTTGTGGGCCACTCTCAAGTGTGCGATGCCCTGATATAGTTATTTTTTCAACCTGCTCGATTAGTAGTCGGGTCATTTATTTAATTTGCTAAGCAAAGGAACAAACAAACATGTTAATGTCTTATTTAGATGGATTTAGAGATTCATAATTCTGGGAACTTCACAAATAATTATAATTGGTCAATTATAATTTTTAAAGGCCATTATTGAAAATCAATTTGGGTGTCGAAATGGAAAGATAGAAGGAATAAGATCTCCCGGACTTTGTGTGTGTAGGCAATCATATTCAATTGTGTTGGCCAACATCAGCTTCGCCTCTCCAAGCATTGGACATTGATGGCTTCACCCTGAACTTTTGACATTTCAGCGGCTCGCATAGGCGTAGATCTTCGTATTAATCACGGCGAACAGGTGATTAGTCCGCGGGCCACACTCCCCTATCGCATCGGAGCTATCAAAATATAGTATGCATGGGCACGTAGTATGTATATTAAGTGGCTCCATGTTGTAGTATGTCCAAATGCGATTGATTTCTCTCTGAGCCATAAGCTCCTATGTAGGTTCTCACAATTGGGCCTTAGTTGATTGACAAATCGGTGAAATGCATTGTTGGCTATCTTTTATGGTCAGATCTCGGATTCATTTAATGGCCAATTTTGGGATGAGCGCGGATTTGGTAGCTCGCCGTTGATGATCACTACTCGTTTTAAGGCCATTAACAAGCGATTTGATTTGAATTTTGAGTTTAAGTTTAAGTCGTGTGCTTAGCATAAATTAGATGTATTATTATTTAGCAAAAACAATATTTTCAGTGCCGGAGGATGACCCACAGGTGGGCCATAAAAGTCATATATGCTCGATTCGCGATGGGTACTTAAATAAATAAAATACAGTTAGCAATATTGACAAATAAACAACGAAATGCAAATGGCATTTGCACACCGGATCTGTGAAACTTGTTTCGCGTTTTAAATAATTACAAACAAGCGCAGAAAAAACGGGCAAACGAATTTACAAAAAAGAATGCCATTTAATAATCCCGAAATGTTTAAATCAATTGATCTTCTCCGAACCTCATTTGCACCGAATGGGTATATAAAAAATGTACGCAGTTAGAATCCGTGAAATTTTATAATCCATATTATTTTCAGGTTTAACCCGAAGGCGAGCGGTTTTATTTTAGTAATATGATTCTGTCATAAATTCTTATTTTTCTTCTTTTTAGCGAGGATATAATTACTTGCATCACAGGCATTAAAAATCGGCGAGAATAAGTTCACAAGCAAGGTCAGCGTGTTGGCGGGTTTTTATACTTGTTTCCCTTAAGGCATTATTATATTTAGTTAATTTATAACATATTAAAATGTTTGTTGAACTGGCAGAACAGGTTGTTAAATAAATCCTTCATAAATTGTATTGAAATTAAAAGCAAATCAATTGAAGCCAAAGGATATTCTTCAATTAACGTTTTCATTTATTCTTATCAAGAAAACGTAAATTATTAATAGAAGCCAGAATTCTTATCTTTATCCATGGCAAAACAATAAAGAAACTAACATCGGAAAGTCCAAGTTTATATACTTTTGCAGTTTCAATTAAAATATGAAACCAAATCGAAGATCGCATTCTTTGAATCGATATTTATTTGCATTTTTCTATGACAATCAATGCTTAAAAATCTCATAACTAAACCAAAACAGCATTAATTTTAAATCGGAAAGGGTTCTTATGTTAGTTTCTATTAGTGTAATAAGTCTGCATACTCAATTTAAAATTTTAGAAAATTCAAATTTTTATGAATTTTTGAAAATTTTAATGATGCAACGCCCTATCTTTTTTTCGAATTTTCGAAAAATTTGGAAAATTTATTTTTTGATCGGACATGGCTAGATCTATTCAGCTGTTGTTTCTGATTAGGAATATATATGATTTATAGGGTCGGAATTGGCTTCTTCACTTAGTTTTAAGCTTCTGACTGAAATTATTATACCTTTGGAAGCGTATAAAAATGCTACTGAATTTAAGATTTTAGGGTGATTAATGTATTCTTTTAGTTAATTAAGATGCATCAGTGTAAGGTTATCTTTATCCAATGAATCAATCTAAGAAAGACTTTGAAAGCTTTGTTTTATTTCACAGAAAACGAATTCCTATATATAAAAATCTTCAACAATTCATGTCTGATGACCGGAAAAGCTAACCAAATATGTATATTTTTGTTATGTCTGCAGTTTATATTTTACTTTTCGTAGGGATTACAATTACTTATTTATTTGTATTTAAGATTTACAAGACGCCGCACAATTTTGTCCAATTTAATTTGTCAATTGAGCCGGCTTAAGATACTGAAATGGCCATTGTGTGTGGGTTGAAAGGGAAATCAGTTGTATAACTTCATTAATGTATTTCTTTTTAAAATCATAATGTACATATAACAAATTTCAGTAGACTTGACAAATTTACCAAACAAGGCAGTATCGGCTTTAAGGGAACCAACCATAAAATGCAAAGCTTATTGATTTTACCACGTTTTTTGTTTTTGTCATAAACCGGAATAAATTGCCAAATAGGATTTCAGTTTATTTATGTGATTGATTCTGCAATGAGGTTTAAAGCTTGCATTTAATTTCATTAAGTTTCTTGAACGATCTTCAATGCAATGGTTTATGCCACTGAGTTCACATTTAACTTTGGTTCAGTTTTTTAACTTGGCCAGCACTTGGCGTCAATTAGCGGGCACTCCGAGGTGGTCGCATAAATTCACTCGAACACTCGATCTTGGATTGGAACACTATACATATATCACTAGGTGAGGACTTACTGCACTTGCTCGGGACTTGTGCTTGGGCTAAAATAAGTCGCTGGGATGCAGCTGGCGATGTGGACGTTGCCGCACTAAGCGCCGAGGAGACTCGTCTTCGTTTATATACACACACGGCCGTATGGCCGTATGATTTAACAAAAATCGTTTCGGATATTGCCTCAAAAATCCAAAGACGCGGCAAGTAAAATAGCAGCAACAAAAACAGCAAGAAAAACACCAATGCTAGTAGCTTTTATATATTGTTTGTTGTTTATTTTACGTTTTATACACGCACACTCTTTCAACTTGAAGCGGGGTTATTCCGATTTATTGGCGAGTTGGGTTAATTTATTCCGCGGCCCAAAACAAGTACTGTGACAGCAGCGCATATAAATCCATAAGAATGGAATATAGATTAAGATTTATCTAAGCAT